GAAAATTAAATTATGTGGAAGCAAGTTCTTGAAATATAATTTGCAACAACGAATTTTTACAATAATTTTCACCAAGCAATTTTAATGTAAATAAAATGCAAGCGTAAATAAAAAATAATAAAGAAAAAAATGCACCAGAGATTTTATAGTGGTTTGGTCACTTGACCTACGTCCACTCCCCGGAGTCCTCCACTATGAGAATTTCACTACTAAATAATAGTTCTCCTTTTACCCCCTCGGTAAGGCGGAGAAGCCCTTACAAACCTCAGTTTTACAAACCCGGCGTGACGGAGTACCAAGCGCTTTGTCACCCTCCTGACGACGACAACGTACATTCTCATTTTTCTCCCTCCTAGAGAATGCAGAGTACCTTAGAGGACACGGATGTAGAAGAATCTCTCCCTCGAAGAGCCTCCCACAAGATCTTCTTGGGCCACAGGAGGAGCAAAGTGTAGCAAGCTTGGAGCAACCGTGTGATCTCCCTCACACTCCTTCTCCCTCGCTAAGCCCACCTTCTCCTTCCTCTCACAAATCCTAAAGTCTTCTCAAGAGCTCTCTCCCAAGGAATCTCTCTCTAATCACATTCCTCTCTCTCAGTCACACAAAAAAAAAAAAACATAAGTTTTTTATATTTAAAATAGGCTCCAAGAAACCCTAAAGTTTTCAAATTAGTTGTTAGGATCGTACAGTACGATACAATATCGTACAAAATGATTAGTACATAATGGACATCATCCTGATACAAAGGTTTACAAACAGGAAAAAGTTATGAATACAATCGTACAGTACAATATAAATCTGTATAGACGATATGTAAAATCCGATTTGTATAGTACAATTTCTGGTATGATGAAACTCGTCTCTGTATATCGTAGGGTATAAACTACTTTGTACAGTACGACTAGTCAAAATCAAGAGATCGTCCAATACAAAAATCAGGACGATCGAAAATAGCCTCGGTTGATCGTACAGTACAAACCATGTCGTACAGTACGATAACCAATCAAAAATTAATCCTTAATTTATGCACTAATCTTGGGGTTAATTTAAGTATTCAAAAATAGGTCGTACAGTATGAATGGGATCGTACCGTATGAAGTGTTATTAAACGTACTTAAAATTAATCTAGTGGCTAGGGTTTTTTATTAGTAACACATCATACAGTACGATTATAATCGTACAGTATGAATTGTTCACAGAAAGTCATTTCAGCCAGATCATATCGTACAATATGATATAAACTCAAACAGTACAATCAACAGAGAAAAAAATTCTACATTTTAAAAAACCCTCTCCCCTTGTGTGTGCGCCTGATTGCTCAATCTTGCATACAATTTGTGGCCAAACTCAAGAAAAGAAAAATTGATAATAAATAAAAAATTACAATGTTATGAACTCCAACTCCTAATCTACCCAGTCTTGAGTCTTCTTATTATCCAGAGTAACTTGTGATCATACTGAAATGTTAGTACTCACAGACAAGAGCAGAAATCAAAAGTATTCAATGAATAGTAATTCAAACGGCATTATTTATCATCATCAAAATCTCAGACAAGGGGTCATGGATTGCAACACACTTAATGTCAACATACAAACAAGCACATTGAATTATGTAAGTAATACACAAATAGGAAACTGTGGAGAAGCGATAGCAAATGCACATATCCATACAAAAGCACTACAAGATTTGCATGCAAAGTAATTTGACCATGGAAGAAGATGTTCGCAAGCAACAACATCGTGCCACCAGATCCACAACATACATATAAGCGAACAGAAGGCCTGTACTAGCTCCCAAATAGAACGTTGTATTCAAATGATAGTTACCTACATGATCAATCAACATCAAACATTCAAAAACACCCCGCACATGTACTATAATATGAATACACACAAACATAAAGAAATGCATGTGCAATTATATACCCATATAGGCCCTAACAAGTGTGTTGTATTTACATATGTAATGTTTGAGAATGCTGCGTGGGACAAGAAATAAACTTAAGTTCAAGTCCAATCCTTCTCCTTAATAGGATTGGAGTTGACATGACTTGAACAATTAAATAAATTTTACTTGTGGTATAGACCAAGATATTTATTTTAATATGTCCATATTAGGCCTTCAAGGCTCATAATCAAGAATATTCACCAACAAAGGGATCAAATCGGTATCAAACTCGATCCTATGCTAGCAATCAGATACATTTAATGAGGTTAAAAAGATAATTACAAAATTGCCTCTTAAATACTCACAAGGGCCACGATGAGCATGTTGTATTTATATATTTGACGTCTAAAGATGCTACGTAGGTCAAGAAAAGAATTTAAGTTCAAGTTCAATCCTTCTCCTTGATAGGATGGGAGTTGACATGACTTCAACCAATGAATGAATATATGGTCACGATATCGACCGTAATATTTGGTTATATATGTTCATATTAGGACTTTAAGGCTTATAATTATGAAAATTTACCAATATAGGCATAAATCCTACGGAGAACTTGATCCTCTATCAGTAAGTGGATAGAATCGACAAGGTTCAATCCTTTAAATACAATTTCCCATTAATGCCCCGATGATGGCCTTATCGAACATAGATCTCAACTAAAGGGGTTAATTTCAAACATTCAATGCCACTAAAACACCTATGAAAGCTCAAAATTTCAAGAAATTATAAAAGACAAAATATTTAAAATTAAAATTAACCATTAAATACTAAAGTAAAACTCATCCACCCTTTGTAACAATTTATCGATGGGAATAAATATGAAAATCACTTTAGCTCAAAAAGAACTAGCATCTAGTCGAGAATATAATTAAAATTCATTCTCAAACCATCTCTTACATGTCCTCTAATCATCATTTTTGCCGCTATATGGCACCAAAGGTAAACAATTATGACTAGGACCCTCTAAATCGGGTGGTTCTCCACTAATGAAACCACCAAATTATGATCATGGTTCGAGCCCATAAGCTCCCAAATTGTATCAAATCCTTAAGATATGAATCAATATGATATAATTGATAGGGCATAAAGTCCTCTGCCAGCTAAGGTGGATTCAAATTTGTCCCCTTAGATAAATATCCATTATTGGTCTACAATGTACCCTTAGATGAAGCAACCTAAGGCTGCCGACAAGGATCCTTCTGTCATGTTGGGTTGACTACTTCCTCTGACTAAGTAGATTAGGGACCACGATGGCCCGGGACTACGAAACCATCTGATCTTGATTGGGCTCATCATCCATTCCCCCACTATCCACTTTAAGTGTAAGATGATGAAATTTTCAATTTTAAATATTAAATTTTAAACACAAACTGATGCTGCTACTATATGTCAGATACCACATATTTCTAGGTATATGTTTGACTACTAGCCTTAACTGTAAGTTCACTCTTATTATCAGGAGGGCTAATTAACTATAAGAGCTTATGCATATAGGAAACCATAACTCAAATAATAAAGTCCTTGCAAAATTAGGGCGAAATTTTGGGTAATGTCTTATTTACAAACTCAATCTGCCTTCTGAAAATTTACCTTGGAAGCTAAAGCGTTAAAACTCATCAAAAGCAAGGGAGGCTGGGGCCCGAATTTTCAGAGCCCATAATTATCATATTAAATTCCTCATTAAGTAGGTATTCTCCAAGCTCAACCTCGTAATCATTGTAAATTTAACAATACCAAATACTGTATACATGCCTCCAACGTTGAACACAATAAAATAGCCCTCACTCTCATCACCAAAGACCATCCCTAGTAATAGCTGATGAATCAAGGCCTTACAGAATTGCAACTCAAGACGCTTGAAGAACAAATTGAAATGGAATGTCCTAGTCATGAAAACGAGGTAATTATTCTCAGATTGCCGAACAATTTATTCCATTGCAGTCCTAATTCAAGATGTAACTTAAGTAATATAATGTCTTATACATATATATGATTAAAAACATCAACATATAAAGTAAAATAACTTAAATGGGCAACTCTAAAAGATAGTGAGAGAATAAAATATAGTTCAAACCAATTTCGAATAATGATTAATCAATGTTCAAATCTTGTTTAAAATTTGCTCAAACTTTGTTTATTCTTATTCTACGCATGATCAAATCTTGTTAAATCGTCTTTAAATATTTTTCAAACCTATATTTAGCCTTGTCCAAACAATTTCAAACATGTTTAAACCTTGTTAAACCATATTTGATTGATGTTAGAAGTATATTTGAACCTTCTTTATACTTTGATCGAATCTTATTTGAACATTGTTCCAATCATTTTAAAGCACCTTCAAACATTTATCTGAACCTTATTTTAATTATGTTTGAGCTATAATCAAATATTGCTCGAATTAAATTCCAAACTCTTTTATAACTAATCAAAAATTTGATCAAATTTTATTTGAATTTTTTTTCTTATTCCAGGGAAGAAATGATCAAAGTTTGATCTAGGTTAAAGCGTCTCTCGTGAATTTCAAATTATATTTCTATGAAGTAGTGATATTTTCATCCTATAAGAACCTTTAAAAATCTCTCTTAAAAGGAAAAAAAAAACTATTAAACATACTTGATCAATTTCTAGCATTATGAAGCATATAAATTCAAACTTCTCTATTATAACTTTGTGAATTTTATTTAAGAGTTCCACCTTGCTTATTTTAGCATTTTCAAATTTTAAATAAAATTACAGAATTGACCGGGTCGCGTAGATAAAATAACCTCGGCTTAAACCAACCAATTATAAAACTTAGCTTTGAAGAGATAATAAAAAAAGACATTGAAGGTTTGTAGCTAACTATTGGCATTCATGTTTTATTTCGGTATGGCGCGATACCATCATTATGCTTCACATAAAAATTTTAAAAATTGAGGATTATCCAAATTAAATTTTACTGATCATGATGAATAACGTCCCGTCGCGTAACCATAAAAGAAAACCCGAAAAGTAAATGAAATATTCCAAAATTTGAATTCTTAACTACTGTAATTTTCCTTGATTTATACGCTGAACCAGAAAATGAAGTAGAGGCAATAAGCCTCTCAAATTGCCTAGATAATGCATTACATTTTCAGTGGCCTCTGTAATACATATTACAAATATTTCAGAATATATATATATATATAAAGTAATATATTTCAAATTGCCTCTGTTTTTTTTTTCCAAAATATTAAAGTAACATCACCAGGGGCTCTGATCATCTGCTAGCTGAGAATCTTGTACAAGAGTTCTCAAATAGGGCCTATTTGGTTGATTTCTTCCTAGGGGAAAATTCCAGAATGAATCTGAGTGCTCATGAAACAGGTAAAAGATCACAGCCGAGCCCAAGAAAAGAAACAAAAGTAAAAAGTATATTTGCCATTCTGCAAATGAAAAGTAGATCAAAGCTCAACCGAACATTAAATTAAAGAAAATTGACAGCAAGCTATGGAAAAGAGAACTTACCTTTCCAATCTGCAGGGACATTGAGCTTTGTGATGACTGCTCCTCGTTGGTTTGATGTACTAATTACAATTCTGCGTTTTTTTTTAAACAAAGTGTTAGGACGAACTAAAGATATAATCATGTATCGGGAAACGAACGCGAGTAAAATGTAAAGTATTGATGGCATTGACAATGGCGGCATACTAATCATAAACAAAAGTTTGAATCATGAGTTTTACTTTTAATATATATTTTTTTGGGGAGCCACTCTAACGGTGTGAGTTGCACCCTTTTACCTTATATTTATCAGTTAAAAGATGAGTAGAGCTGATAATTCTACTCAGAAATTTGCTCAAGTTTTGAGACAACTTGAATCTAATTCGAGTTTAGTTATGAGCCAAATTTTAAATTCAGTTCAATTTTGCACCTAGGACGGCTCGCTTGGGAAAAGATTTGAGATATAAATAGATAATGATGCTAGCTATAAATTGAGCAAAACTTGCATGGACAATTAGTCTATTAATATTAGAGTAGTTGCATATTGAGTTCAAAACCTAAACCACAATTTTTCGTTCCAATTTATTTTCCCTGCACTATTTTAACACAGTTGCAACACATCCAGTTGATCTCCATAACCTAAACCAAACACTGAAATTTCATTGGTGTCAGTTTGGACATTGGAATTGATAGATATAAGATAACCTAAAACTCTAAATTGCAAAGCGGGTGTGAGAAGTTCAAGAAGCAAGAGCTATGTAGGGGAGGCCAGAAGTGAGGATTACGAGAGCTATAAGATGGGGTATGTTATGATATTGGATGACCTCTCTCCATCCTTTACTAAATCCTGTCTTCTTTCTACATCTGAGCCAGGACAAAACTTTTGGTTTTTAGGATGGACTACTCCGGGCTGCGGGGCTAAGTGTCCTAAGGAGGCCTGGTTCCTCGAGCCTGGTGGCACAACGTCACGAACCAGTTGAATCTTCTACTCAAGGACTAAGTCCTTTGTGTATTGTCTATTAGATTCTCATGCGTGTTTAGAAGTTATTCACTTGGATTTATTTCTTAAGAAAATACTATCTAGATAAGGTCCGTGAGGAGCTTATATATGTTTATTTTGTAAGGGAACTATTCTTATATTAGGTGACTGCAAATCATTTTCCACAAAATAAATAAATCCTCTTATCCTCTGTTCGATCATCCTGTCCCAAGATTCATAGCCTTTCGAAAGAACTGTCAGATTAGCTGTCACGGTGCATATATAATTCATGCTTGCTATTTGGGTTAAGTTAATACTAAATATAATTTCCTTTATGACTCTATCACTTGTCAGCGTGCTGCAGCTCTGGATGCTGCATTTATTTTACGTTCGTAGTTTTTTATGGGGTCTATTGTCAATACTGAACAAATAACTTGAACGTACTGATGCATACACCGTGAATAATTTTTTTTTGTAAATAACAATCTGTTCTGACTTTTGAACAAAGATCATTTATATGCTCAATTTGCTACTATTTTCATTTGTTCATAAGCGTGTTTAGCTATTTTACTGTTATTTTCGTCTGTATACATTTATATGTTTTGAGCTGTTTATCTGCAAAATTTGGAGAATTTGGTTTCAGCTGTTTAGCTACTGTTTTCAGTTGTTTACCTGTGCCTACTGTTTTGATCTTTTCTGAGCCGTTTATATGCCGTAAAGTTTGGTAACCTTGGTTTTAGCAATTTTACTCTGTTTTTAGATGTTGCCATTTTCTCCTGCTCAAATGATTCTAACAGAATGGACAAAATGATATATTTTACAAGCTGTTGGAAGTTTTAAACCGCTATTTTAATTTCTACGATGTTCTGAAAGACCAAAAAAAAATTTATGAGATGATAATTATTCATTTAATGGCCAATGACTTTAAAGAGACAAATAATATTTGCTAATGTTCAGAGAAAGAATTACATAGCTACAGCTACTTGATTTGAAGTTTGATTTTGTTGTTTAATTTCAACCCACTGTTAAATTCATCTATTTCACTCATATAATATAGCCCATAGTATTACATGGTTCACATTTTTTTTTATGTTCAATATTTTAAAACTTAAGCGATACATATACTACAGCTGATGTAGTTTGATTGATATAACACTAGTTTATCGCTATTACATGGCTGACTTTAAAGTTCAGATATTTATGATAAAGTTCTAAAAGAAATGCTTTGAAAAGTTCTAGAAAAGAAAGGAGTTAATATACTTATATTCAAGTCATTAAGTATATGTATACAGAAGCTGTTAATTGCGTTCAAATATAAAAGATGATTTGACCGAGTATTTTTCTATTTCAGTTGGATTACATTAAAGTTCAGCTTTAAGCCCATATTTGCTTTAGTCATAGATGCTTTTATCAGACATTTGCAAGAGGATGTACATTAGTATATTCTTGTAGATAATGATATTCTTCTTGTTGATGAAACTAGAGAGAGAGTTTATGAAAAACTATGATTATGGAAGTCAATCTTAGAGTCTAATGATTTTCATTTGAATAGATCTAAAGCCGATTACATGGAGTGTAATTTTAATAGTAATAGATCTAGTGGCGAAATTGTGACATTTGGTGATCAAGTCATTAAAAAGATTATATATCTTAAATATCTAGAGTTTATTGTTCAAAATGATAGTGAAATAGATGGGGATATTATTAGTAGAATTTAAGTTAGATGGTTGAAGTGGATGAAAGCATCGGGGATGTTGTGTGATAGAAAAATACCCATCAAACTTATGAGGAAATTAATAACAGTAGTGATATTTGTAATACTTTATGGTGCATAATATGGACCATTAAAAGACGAGCATAAAATTAAGTTTTGAAAAGATGATGATGCTTTGTTCGATGAGTGACTTTACACATAGAGACAGAATGCGAAAAGGTAGGAGTAGCTCCAGTGGGAGATAAGGTAGAGAGAGTCTCTTAGATGGTTTGGTTATATAAAAAGCTGGCCTTCCGGTAATCCTATTAGGAGAATAAATAAATTAAATCAAGCTTATATTAAGAAAGGTATATATATATATATAAAGAATTGATTTTCTTGTTAGATTCAAATGAGAATTTAACTCCTAATAGGACACAATGGAAAAAAAAAAATCATATAGTTGGCTCTATGTAGTGGGATAAGAAGGCTTTTTGTTTGTTATATTCATATAACATTCATATAATTAATTTGTTGTCAACTTTCTATATGCTACAGTTCCAATAAGTGATTGATATTATGCTTTAATGACTTCATGCTGGTTGATAGGTGTTGATTTTTTATTTTGAACATGGTATACAATTATGCTTTTATCATATTTTTCTTTAAGAAGTAAAACTTATATCGTGTGATTGGATATCAAAAGTTATTTCATTCGCTATTTCTTTGATATTTATATATTAGCTATTTAGATTTATATTTTTAACTTATACACTTTTTCTTTATATGCCATAATTTATAACTAACAAGTGACAGATGTTGCGCTTAATTCGTTGAAATTACAATTTGTTGGATCATGATTCACGAATGATATCATTCCTTGTTTTTACCATTACTGAGAACCAAAACCAATTAAATGCTCATCTAATTTTTCACACACCCTCACTTATATTTTTCGTTTAGTTGTGAACTTATTTCAGATGTGATGGATTATGAGTTTTGACAAAAATAGGTCTCCCATCTAAACTCTAAACCGAAAGATCAGTAGTTATTATTATTATTTTTTTTTGAGTTTTATAGGAAAAAATATTTCATCATGATGGAAACTCAAACGTAATTGGAGGGCAATATATGGAGTCAAGAGAATGGATTTACATTCAAGTGCACTGACTTGATTTTTATTGTAATTTTTAAAATATACTTTTTGTACTTCTGATATTAGGGGCACTATATAATATATCATATAGGTTTTACATAGTATATATTAAATGTGCGTAGTTTTATCATTCCATGTGGGTCATTTTGAGTTGCACTGAGCTATCTTAACACAAGTACAACAACAACAACATCAAGTCTTTATCTCACTACGTGGGGTCGGCTACATGAATCCTTTTCCAACTAAGCACCAGCCATGTATTTTTCCATGGCTCCACTATCCCATATGAGTTCTTAACAAATGCATTGAAAACCCAAAATGCTAGATAGCAAATACTATTCAATTGTATTATTTATTTAATTATAAAATAATAATAATAATAATAATAATTTTTATCTATTTATTTATTATAAATGATATAACATGAATGATCTTTAAATATATATTTATAATAGGAATTTAATATATAATTTATAAGTGCAAATTATATCCATCATATAGCATTAATAAGCAATGATTTCGAATAAATTTATAAGTTATATTCGAACAAGATTAATATTAAATGTAAATTTAATTAAGATTAAAGGTTTTTAAATTTAAAATTACGGAATGTCTTATTTGTGAATGAGCATTGTTTATTTTTAGTCATATATTTACATTATTGCATCATTATTACATCATTTTTATATTTTTAGATTTTATTTAATAAATTTTAATATTTATTACATTATCTGGTTAAACCTCTTATTCAACTTTGGTCGAACTATAAACCTTGAACTTTTATTCTTTTGATTCTATATCATGTTCGAATTTCACAACCTTGATCGAAACAAAAAAATATATATATCTTTTTTTTGTTTTGGCTTAAATCCTGGATTTAATCCTAGTATTAGGTAAATTTATAAAATTTGTAGTATAATGAAATTCTCTTTTTTTCACATGGCATTGCTCCCATCGATGCCTTTTTCAATGAGCTCCTAACATGACTTCTTAGGTTCTTCGTCATTGAGGAATTTGGCCCTTTTCTTCTTCAGATGTCGTTGCTTACGCCGATGCCTTTTCTAGCCACTAGTGACTTCCTGACTTCTTTGTTGTCCAAGGTTATATGATTTGGGGGATTAGATTTAAGCAAGAATGTTGTGGTTTATAATTTTAAAATTATTGATATCATTTGCATTAATCAAATAAGATATATCAATTAAACTATTAAATTTATTTTTAGAATTAATGTTAATTAATAAATAGATGATATTTTAAATAAATTAATCATATTTGTAATTTAAATTAATTAAATAAAATTAATTTTGTTCGATTAGTTTTATGAACAACTAATTAATGATTAATTAGGAAGTTATAAATTAATATAAAGAATACAAAGCATTTTAAGATAATATCATTTATTCTATTTCCCACACACTTGTAATTTTATATAATCATACAAGTGATGTCACACAAGGAATATAAGAAATGCAACTTCACATATTTACACAATCTAAAAATTATAAACTTCTAACTTTTGGAAGTAACTTTAACAGTGAATTTCAAATTTGGGAACTTTTGAGAACAATTTTTAATAGTTGAGAGATTAAATTTGGATATTGTAATATTATAAGACTAAATTAATCATTTACTAATAATCAAGAGATTATTTTACACTTTCTCGGCAGTCAAGGCTGGGAAATCTCTCGTTTGAAACATGTTGTTCAAACAGGTATCAGACACGATTAAAGAAAGTAAAGGATGATGGCAACCGGATCAACTAATCTATGTATGCTCTTTTTTCTCAACCATTTAATTAAGGCAAAAACCTTTACAATGCCCATCATGTCCTCTTGAGGAAATAAGATAAGTGCCAACCACGATATATTGATGCCTACAGAAGAGTGTTGAACTACCGGATCAAATTAAACATAGGTCACAGTTCATGCAGAGTTAGATTTTGCAGAAATTGAATTTAGTGAATTGAAAGAGAGTGTTCATGTAACTTCAATGATGAAGTAATGCCTATCTGAAAGAGATTTTGAACATGTAGAAAATAGCAATTAAGAAATAACCTTTCTAAAGGGCAGAACTCAATTGAGGAAATGGCTGTCCCCAGATGATGCTTCTTGCTCCAATGAGAGATTTCCATTTTCTTTACTTCAACCACACAAATGTCACCATCACTGCTGCCTCTGAGTTTAGTGAAGTAGACATGAAAACTTTTCCAATGCTTCGAAGGACAAAAGTCAACAAGTTGAAATAATGGCATACATAACCAAATTAATCATCAAGGTAACATTAAAAGATGCTGCAGTGTAGCATCTTTTTCTTAATTATATTTTTTTCCTTCACATTCCAAAGTGAAAGCTGGAGTTCAGGATTCAAATTTATGAGAATAACCTCTTTGTATTGTTAGGTGTAACGCTCTCCAGATTCTGCATTGGCAAGACTCTCATGTACCAATTTATTCCAAATTATGAGTGATAACTCGTACTCTAATTTAGCCTTAAAAACATAATACGTTACAAACATATGATATGACGTGAAAACACAAACCTCCACTCCCAACCCAACTGCACCTGGCTTTTCTAACCAAGGTCAAAGTTCAGATATAAAAGAGATTAATAAAAAAAAATGTCATGTTGGGTTTAAGTTGGAATGCCAACATGTTCCACATGGGTGCTTTTCCATCCATTTTCTATCCATGCTGCCTAAAATTATCCTTTATTTCGTATTCCCAATGGCGTTCACCTCCACCCACGCAAGAATGGCAGGTAGTAGCAGTGAGAACAATCCTAGAGAAACTACTAAACTGGCAAGGGTAGTGTGAAATGATCATTGACAATCATGGCAGAGACAGAAGCAATGGAAGGAGGCTGACAAAGTGGCAAGGCAATGGAAATAAGGATTACAAAAATGCGAGCTTGATGTCTTGCGAAAGAGGCAGAGATGGCCATAAGAAATAAATGAATTAGTTCATCAAGTTGACAAATGCAGATAACAGTTCCGTTAAGAGAAAATTAGAAAATAAATTTGAAAAATAATAGGTCTATCGAATTCCATAATGAAGCTAAAGAACAAATAAAAATGTGTACAACAGCAGAAAGAGACTGGAATAATTCTCGGACAATGCTATCAGTGAAACGAAAGGAAAAATACAAGGCTAATGCTTGGGGTTTAAGGCATAAATAAAAAATTAAATAAAGAAGTGGATTTCATTTTCTTACAATGCTAAGTACTTTCCGTCCAAGCTAACAGAAAGTGCTGAGATAGGTTTTCTAAGTAACCTTTTGAACCCAATTCTATTCCAAGTACTGATATCCCAAACAGCAGTAACCACCTTGCCACCTGTTGCATATTAAATGAATATTTTTGCGAGACAAGCAGTCAGTCATTCGACTACAGAAACACATTTACAAAATGATCATACCCTTTTGAACTGTGCAAAACAAAAAAGGCCTCATGCCATCCCTAGAGAATCGGCAACATTCAATTTTCTCATCCTGAAAAGGCAAACAGTAAAGGGAATATAATAAATGACGCTTCAAGGACGTAAGTTTTAAATATAAAAAAAAAATTAAATGCAAAGCCATCTAGAAACTGTACCGGATTACGGGTCAAAGAAATCATTGGAGCTGCACCATTTATTTTCCATATTCTTGCAGAACCATCAGTAGAGGTTGAAACCAAGAATTCTGAATCTAAGCTGTAGAAGAGAATTTCAAAAGACTGAACCGATTAGAACACTAGTGAAAAAGTGTTGGCTCAAGAAAAATGGCACGAATGCACGAATCCGCTTTGCAGCTATAGGATTCCATTTCCCTTAAGTTAGATTGAAATTAACCAGATTTCCCCTGAGGGTAATGTCAGGGTTTATAGATCTGGGGTTCTTACTTCCTATGAGCGCAAGCACTTATAGTTAATTACCCCTCTTACTATGTAAGAGAAAACTCTCGATTAAAGATGAATAAATTTTAGATATTTTTAGTCTCAAATGGTGGGAAGATGGAGGTAAACCCGATCAAGATCCCATGGTTCCGTCGTCCCGGGTATATCATAGATTTCAGTCTACCAACACTAACAATCATTGACCGTATTGTCCAGGAATCTGATTAGCAGCCATGGGTTGCATCCTCTCAGGGATCCCGAGTAGACTGAAGTTGTTAGATGTTGATTTTAGTTTTAATTTAATTTGAGTTGGGGCTTATGGCTTCCTTAGAAGTTGCCCGTTAATTTATTTAGTTTGGGGTTCAGGACTCCAATTAGAAGTTGCCTGTTAATTTGCTTAGTTTGGGGCTTACGGCTCCAATTAGGAGTTGCTCGGAGAATTTATTTAGTTTGGGGCTTACGACTCCAATTAGGAGTTGCCCGTTAATTTGCCTAGTTTGGGGCTTATGGCTCCAATTAGGAGTTGCCCGGAGAATTTATTTAGTTTGGGGCTTACGACTCCAATTAGGAATTGCCCGTTAATTTATTTAGTTTGGGGCTTACAAGAGTTGCCTGGAGATTTAAATCTAGATTGGGATTTATGACTTTCGTAGAAAGTAACCCAAGTATTTGATTTAAATTGGGACTTATGGCTTTCGTAGAAAGTAGCCCGAAGGTGGGCCTTACAACCTAACCCTATAGGCTAGGATGCCCGTAGGTTTAAATTAGATTATTTGGGTTTTAGGTTCATTACAATTTATTTAATAATTTTCCTAAAACGTTGGGGCTTACGACTTCAAATAGAAGTTGCCCAAAAACGATTCTTACAACCTAATCCTATAGAATAGGATGCCCAATGATTTAAATTTAGATTGAGACTTATAACTTTCATAGAAAGTAGTCCAAATTAGTGGGACTTACGGCCTCAATTGAAGGTAGCCCAAATATTTTAGTTAGGTAGGTCTTATTGCTTCCTTAGAAGTTGCCTAATTATGGGTCTTACGACCTAGCACTTTAAGCTAAGTGGCCCGAGTTGTGGGTCTTACAACCAAGTCCTATAGACTAGGATGCCCAGGTGAGGGGTTTAGGTTTGTGTTATCACCTAAACATCTCCCTCAAATGTCGGACTTACAACTTTTATTAGAAGTGGCCGAGGGTTTTAATTGGGTTTAAGGGTTAGGTCAATTTCTACCTAAAACTTTCCCCTAAGGTCGGGCTTACGACTTTCCTACGAAAGTTGCCAGATAATGGGTCTTACAACCAAGTTCCTATGAACGAGGCTGCCCATTTAAGTTTTAATTTGATTTTTTGAGTAGACAGTAGTTGTTTGAAACTAAACTACCGAGGTTTTCAGTTGGTTGTTTGTGATTTTCATATTTCGGAGTTTTGACACTGGTGTTAGTGTTTTAGTTGTTCTGTGCTTGTAGCCTTTTTCTTATTACAGCAGTTCAGTACTCTTCATGTTTTCTAGCACTGTTACACTACTAGCTTTTTCGTACTCAGCTTTTCTTGTTTTCGAGTACTCTACACTACCTGCAGTAGCTTAGATTTATCAGCATTCATTCATTTTATATTATTTAATTTTGAAAGGACACGCGTATCTGATACGCGTATGCATTGAAAAAAAAATCTAAAAAAAGTACCGGTCATATTTACTTCCGCGGCTGCAAGCAAGGTTCTCTCATTTCCGAGATGGATTTGAGCCTCTTGATGATATGGGAATATTAGAAATTGCTAATCTTTCACTTAATGAGCCAGAATTATAAGCTATGATATTTATTGAAGATGATATAGAAGTTCAAAGACAAACCACTGAAGAAGCTAATCATATCATTCCTTCTATTGAATAGTTGAAACTTCATGTGCTAGACAATTTATGCTTATAATTATGTTGTTGTACTAGACATTTAATGCTTACTTTTATTTTGATATTATAAGCTACAAGGCTACAAATGATGTTACTTTCATTTTTTTGTAATCTCAAATATTATGCTTTGATTGCTTTCTTAATTTTTATATATGATTTATAAATTATAATGTTGTGTTCGCGCCGTACCCGTATCCTATATTTTTAAGAATTGGCGTGTACTGTATCCGCATCGTGTCGTATCCGTGTCGTCGTATCCGTATCGGTGCAACATAGAATGTAGACCTAGAAAAGAACAATACGTGGGAAATCATCAATCTTCCAAAAGGGAAAAAACCAGTCAGCTGCAAATAGATATTCTCTATAAAGTACAAAGCAAGACTAGTGGAGAAATGATATACTCAAACATATAGCATTGACTACAAGAAAACCTTTACACCTGTAACCAAAATGAACACTGACAGAATCCTACTCTCACTAACAGCTAAGTAAAACTGACACCTAGAACAACTAGATGTCAAAAATGCATTCCTACAATGGGGACTTGGAGGAAGAGATATTTATAGAGATACCACAAAGATTTATGAAAAAACCTGAAAGTGACAAGGTGTGCAGGTTGAGAAAAGCCCTATATGGGCTAAAACAATCACCTAGCATGATTTGGAAGATTCTTAAAATTCATGCTTCTTAATAGGTATCAACTGTTGACCTACAGGCCTAAATAAAAAAAAAATCTTTCATACCTGTAGCGCCGAACAACACGTCAAAATAGTGCCCAAAACACAAAAATCTCGCGACCCGTATGTCCTCCGCCGTTTTTCGCACGAGACTCGCACGTCGACGTCGCCAATCCCACGTTCCCTTTGAATGCATTGTCCTACCCCGCTCGTCGATAAATACCGGAGAGAGAGAGCCTCTCTCGTTTTTCTCATTTCTCCCTCACGCAAAGAGCTCCGACATCTCTGGCTCATTCATTCCGGCGAGAGATAGATAGAGAGAGAGAGAGAGAGAGAGAGAGAGAAGCCCTTACCCAACGCCTTCTTCAAAGCCCCAGCCGACAACTTTCCCTCCTTCGACGACCTTCACACCTTCGACGGAGCTCTTCGTCGGGTCGGAAGCAGCGACACTTTGATCTGACACAACAGGAGCCGGCTCGCGTGAAGGTAATCCTCTCCCTCCCGAGCACTTTTCCGGCCTTTCATTGCTGTTCGATTTTGCTCTCGACGACTTTCCCCTCCTGCTGATTGGAAGTTACAACATTTTGAACGGAAGCAACGTTGGCAGCTCGTCACTGTGAAGGCAACTTTCTCCCTTACCCGCACTTCTTCGGCCAAATCCCTGTTACCAAACAGCCTTTACGGCTGTTTTTGTTTTTGGTCAACACGAGTCCAAAATAAATCAAATTTTGGCTTCCCTTGAGTCTAGTGGCTCAATCAAAATTGAGTTGGATTTTTAGCTCATTTATGAGCTGGATTTTAGTTCATTAAATGGAACTAAAATATAGCTCATTATTAGCTAAGTTTTAGCTCATATTTATCCTTTATTTTAATGCACTTTTATTTTAGTTTTTAATGTCTTAAAGTTGTCTCTTGGGTTTCCAAAAAGGGCTTTTGGAATCCCAAGTTAGGTGTTTTGTATTCCCATGCATGACTCCTTGGTTTCATTGCATTTGCCCCCTTGGATTCCGGCCGGCCGCTGGTTTTCCCGTGCCTGGGCTCTTTCCCGAGGCCGTGGCCCCTTGGTTCCGTGCGGCCACCTTGTTTCCCGCGGTGGCTGCTTCGGTTCCTGGTTTGGGTTGATTTCCGTGAGCATGGGGAAGGATTTCTATGCTTATGGTGCTTAGTTTCTTGTGTTAGAATTAATGTAATGTGTCTCTTGGTATTCCTCTTTCATACCTATAAATATGGGAGGATTTGTAATGTTTGAAGTAAGTTGAATGATTAAGTTATTTTTGGAAGCTTTAACCTGCGGGTTTGCTTTGGAAATCTTGCGGGCTCTTTGCACCCTTCTTTCTCATCCCCTCTGGAAATCCTGCGGGCTCTTTCCAACCTTTCTTCTCGGGCTTCTAACCACTTTCGTCTCTCCGCAAGTGTCGCTCCACCTGTATCCTTCTTCTCCAAGTGCAGCAACTTTAGGGTGTCGTTATTTTGTTTGCAAGAGTTGTTTGTATTGGTGTAAGTTTTCTTTTGTTTAGTTTAAATTGAAATGTAAGAGTTTGTTCGTCCTACTTCTCGTTCTTAGTCATTTTCGTCGGTAGAAGTCCGTCTCTCTTTTGTGATCGAAGAATATAGGCTCCCCTATATTTTTTGGTCGCATCACATAGGTACACTAAAGGGGAAAATATAATCTCGACCCGCATGGGCCCCGGCGAGCGTGTTATTAGTATACACGTGATATCTAGAGATGCTGCGCGGGTCAATAAATGAATTAAAGTTCGAACCCGATCCTTCTATACAGACCTATAGGAGTCGACAGGGTTCGAACCTTCAAATAAATACACGGTTGTAGGGACCGATATATTTATTTTAATACATTCACTAAATAAAGGTATGAAGCCTACGAAACCCAATCCTTCTAAGCAAGAAAAATAGGAGTGGACAGGGTTTGAGCCATAAGATAAATATGCGGTCATGATATCGACCGGAATATTTATCTCATACATTCATATTAGGCCTTCAAGGCCTTTAACAAAGAAAATTCACAAACAATGGCACAAAGCCTATGAAACCCGATCCTCTATCGGTAAGTTGATAGGGTCGACAATGTTCAATCAAATGGAAATGATCCCAAACACCCCGATGATGGCCGCGTTGATTGAAGATCTCAACCGGAGGGGTTAATTTTAGGCATTTCCAATGCCTCCCAAAAGTCCATCCAAAATCCAAAATTTCCAAATTCCGTCCCAAAGTCAA